TCCTCCGCTTCAGTGATGGTGCCACCTTCGCTCTTCGACAGATTGTGCAGCGCACTGTTTGGGGCCACCGTGCAGTTCATCGTGAACGCAACAACTTTATTCGTGTCCCCATCTGTGGTGGATGGAGAGCAGCCCCCCGTCGCGAACTTCTCCAGGAACACCGATCCGGCAAAGATGCAGAGGGAATTGCTGCCAGCAGCACTTTCACTGCCGCATAAATCCTCCGGTGTGGTGGGGCACGTGTTCCAGGCTGCAGAATTACTCTTGTCGGCAACGCGCCAACTCAACTTGCCGTTAGTGTCCGGGCACGACACCTCCACCGACACCGGGACTTTCACTTCCGCCGCAGCCGCCGCGGTTACGCAGACGGAGGGGGCGCAGCAGCCGCAGAGCAGCGCGAGGAGCGCCAGGGCGCACACCGCACGGCGCCGCACCGTCAGCGTCATCGCCATCAGTAAAAACAGTGGTGGCGGTGGTGGCAGTAGAGCCGCAGCAGAGCCAGTGGGCTGCGGGGAGCGAAGAGGAAGAAACAGAGAGAGAAATGGGGGCGCGGTGGGGTGCGGCGCAGAGAGTGAGGGCAGGGAGAGGGAAGGAAGAAAAAGGCGGCGGCCCGCTAATTTCACGCAGCGGCGTCCTGCAGCCGCGCGAAAAGAAATTCATCCCGCCCCCGCCCCACGCAGACGTCTTTGGCGGTGCCACGGCATTTGGGAGAAACACACAACGTGAAGCTAAAAAACAGTGCGGCCGCGAGGCACCACGGGGCACGGCGCCTCCTTCTCCCCGCAGCAGCGCAGCCCGCCGGCTGTGCCTCGTGCCCGCAGGCAAATAAACACACAAACACACAAATATATTTTTTAAAAAATAGTCCCTTCAAGCACTTCCGTAGAAACGCAGTCCGCTGCTGCACTCCGCTGCTCACTTCCCCCAACGCCGCCCAAATCAACGGAATTGCGGCACATCCGCGCCGCGTGCGTCTCGGAGTGTTCTCCCTGCACGCCGCACGCAAACAACACCCCCCACCAACACTCACCAGTAACAGTTTTCCCAACCGTTAAAAATATACACCTCGTCCTTCACTCACCGGGCCGCTGCCTCGCCGCGCTGGCAGTAGTGTTGTGCTGCGCATCCGCCGCCGCAAACCGCAGCCCAAACAAATTCCTCCCCCGCCGGGAACCCAAAAAATGATAAAAAAAGGAGGCGCCCAAGAGCAGAGCGTCTTCGGCCGCCGCTCCCGCGCAACTCCCCGCACGTTGCGTCCGTCCACCCCCTCTCAGCCTGAAGGCTCCTGCGGCGCCCACATCTCTAAGCCCCTCCCCGGGACGCGACGCCGGGCCCACCTGCAACACGCAGCGCTTTGCCTGCCGTCCCGTTGGCGGCCGCAGCCCCGCGAGCCCCTCCCTCTTTTTTCTGCCGCACCCGCAAAAGGCCCTCCTCCCCCAGCGTGTGTGCGTGTGGGTCCGGGGCACGCGGCTTCTGGAGCTTTTCAGGAAGGCGAGCGGCACGCCGTAACCGCGAGAGGCACTCGCTGGGGCCCAGAACCACTCACACAAACGTGTCCCCATTCGAAGATCAAAGAGGCAACACACATTTGTGTGCCGCACGGCCTCCACACCGCGAGCGCCACGCTCCCGCTCAATCTTCTCAGCCTCCAAAACGGATTCCCCGCACCCCACAGTTTCTCGCCTTCCCAATCATAGTCCTCCTCGGCAACCGGGGCGCCAGTCGCCTGCAGGGCGCCGTCACCCGCCGCAGTGCGCCCATCGAACGCAGCCGCATTGAAGATGCCACGCGGCAGCGGGCCGACAAGCTGCATGCGACCCGCGACCGCCTCCCACTACTTCTTTTGCTCCTGCGCGGGATGATGGCGCGCGTCCGCCGGGCACACGTCGCCTTCGCCTCCTTCTCGTCGCGGCAGCGCATGGTGGGGGGAGGCAGAGATGCAGTCGCATCGCCAGTGCTCTGGAGTTATTTCCCTTTGCGGACGCCAACACGCAACCATGCCCCACCCACAAG